ATTTTTACTTAATGTTATTGATCCAAAAATAGGTGGAGTTATGGTTATGGGAGATACAGGAACTGTTAAATCTACAACTGTAAGAGCATTAGTAGACTTATTACGGGAATTGACGGGGGCCCACACAAGCGGTGGAGCATGTGGTTAGAGGACAAATGTTCTTCTTCAACTCCCGCAGAGGAGATGCTTTATAATCGTGTGGTCTGATGGCCCACAGACCAGTTAATACTGACCAGTCCAGAATATCAGCTCGTCTCAGCCAGGAGACTGAGACCATGAATTCATTTGAAGGCTTTGCCAAGCTTATATGCTTCTCCTGCGTCCTTGTGCTATATAGAAAGAAGTTATGGGTTCGGGTTTCCGCTCATGAAATCAGAGCACCAATGTTGTAGGATGTGCAAACCCAAGAATGGACTTCACCCCACTACATGTGTCTGGACAGACTACCGGACGAGAGACTTTCGGACTGATGACCCACGGTAATCCAAAGAAGCAAACCGAATCTGCATTGACTACACAAGCTGATACCTGAACCCATAACTTCCCTGAAGAGCATGGCGCTCTCGAGGAAGTGTATAAATAGTGCCAAACATGGCCTCATGGGTATTAAATTACTATCAATGTTACATTTGTGGTCCATCAAGTTGCCCGATGTGGAACTAGCTGATTGGGCCAGGAGGCGTCGAACAAGTAAGCTTGTATGCCCGACCCCTCAATGTCGCCTCTGTATTGAATTACTGCAGAGTGTGGCGTAGCCCCAGCCCGGCGAAAGAGGAACTACCCAACCCCCCGTCTCTGCTGCCCCTCCCTCCAAAAAAAAAACGTACCTTCAAAGTTTGATTGCGGAATTTGACAGATCTCGGCGAGCGCGGTCGGATCCCACAATCGCAAAAAAAAAAAAAAAAAAAAGAAGTTTATGGGCTTTTTTTTTGTTTTTCCGGTTCACCCCCCCTGGACTAATCCGGAACCGGTTGGACCGGGGGAGGTGAACCAGTCGGTTGTCGGCCCAGCCCTGAATATAGGTTATATTTATGACTTCGCCTTCCAGCCTGAAAGGTAATGGTGGTTTAAGCCGCCATGTATTGTCTTGTTGCTGACCCCGACCCTGGGCCTGTGTCCCGACCAAACCTTTCCGGGGAACCGTTTTCCATTTTCAACCTGCCCTAACCTGGGCGGAGCCTGTTTTACGAGCCTGGTTGGGACCTGCCTGTTACGGACTTGGAATTGTCTCAAGTCAACAGCAAGGGTGGTGGTTCAAAATGGTTACCACTTACACAGTCTTACAGAAAAAAAAACTGATACCCAATTTATTGCCTAGTGGAGATGGAAAACAAAGAAACACAAGCGAAGAAGATGCGAGGTGATGTTCGGCACGACCCACATTGATTGATGGGTTGCTGTGGTAAATCTAGGCCATGTTCGACGCCGTCCACATTGATTGACGGCTTGCTAGTGATGAGCAGTATTGTTCTGCTGATGGATATGCAGGTCGACCCGCAAACTAATCGACGTTCACCTGCAATACGTGGCTAGGATTATCTTCCGCTTTTCTGACAAGGCGGGGAACGAACGACTGTGGTGGCATACTCAACACCCACTGTCGATGGACATGGAATCAATGGGATCTTGATCGTGGTGCATTCAACAGCCGCCGTACCAATGGCTATCACGTACATACATATTTATACCGCATTAGGCGGATGTTCAGCGAATAGCAAGAGAAGCCCTTACTGCCGGCGTCACAATGGAGGGCAGCACTGCTACGGTCCTCGTGTCTTTAACGCATAGGTGGTCCTTGTGTGCGGAATGTCTTCATCACGTGGCACGGTTGAATAAGTGCAACCGTGCAAATCTGCCTTTGTGAAAAAAAAAAAAAAAGGAGAAGTCAACTCTGCTTGTCAGTGACAGGTAGGAAACAACAGTGGAGTAACGAATTAGCGAGAGAATGTCTGTGACAAGTGCTGGGTAATGGAATAGAGCATCAGGGAGCCATTAGTTCCATTCAGTCATTCTAGCGAATGGCCAGAACATGGCCCCAGCCTTGCAAGATTTCTTAATCAGCTGCTAAAATTTTGGACGCTGGGGGCTACTGGACCACAATGGCTGGCGGCACCAGCCCAAAAAAGAAAAAAGGTGCACCGCTGGCTGTCGCCAGTGCAGCGCCGCCAGACCCGGGTGTACTGCTGGTATAAAGCACCAGTCCGTGGTCCCAGCGAAGTTGAGAAGCCGATTGAGAGTCTCCTAAAATTTTGGAGGCTCGCGTGCCCTCGATGAATGACATGTACTGGTGTTTCGGGGACCCGCGGGCGGTGTTTCGGGGGCCCGCGGCCGATGTATGACATGCACTGGTGGGTTAAGACTATACTCTCAGAAGGACTTACTTGCCTGAATCTGATCTCCGATTAGTACATAGGACATACTCTCTGCATCATTGTGAATGAGTATGCCCTGAAGATGTAAGGGAGCCTACTGATGATTCCCATTCACTCTGCTCTATGGCCCACTGCTATAATTTGCAGCCTGTAGGCTTTAGTGCTGAAATCTATGGTCAGCCTATGGCTTCAGAGTCCACTGACTAGTCTTGCTTCCTGCGATTTATAACCAACTGCCTACATCTTGCAACCTGCTGCCTATAGCCTCATGCCTGTGGCCTCTGCCTGTCTCCACTGGCCTATAATTGCCCGTGTGTGGCCTCCTTTGCACACGCCCGTGTACTTATTGCCTCTTACCTATAGCCTCCTGCCTGTAGCCTACTGCCTATGCTGCCTGCTGCCTATAGCTACTGCCGATAGCACGCTGCACACAACCTACGGCCTATTGCCTACAGCCCTCGTACTTAACCAGCTCTTTATCTATAGCCTCCTGCTTGTAGCCCACTGGCTATGCAGCCTGTTGCCTATAGCTACTGCCTATAGCCCGCTTCAGACAACCTACTGCCTATTACCTACAGCCACTCATCTGTACCCTGCTGCCTTTAGCTCGTTGTCTAGCATGCTGCCTATAGCCTGGCGCACCTGATGCCTATAGCCCGCTGCGTATGGCCTTCTATGTTGCCGCACTGCCCTCCATTCGTGAATCACAAGAGGGGCACCAGTCAAGACCTAAGGCTACTCTGCCTACACGGGCTCGAGTTTATGACCCCATGTATGCCACCTGCAGCTGGTATCCCAATCCACCACCTCTCCATGGCATGTATCTCGAGAGCGGAGCTGGCTACTGAGCCTATTGCCAATCGTGCTTACCAGCGACTACCTAGCTCGTGTCACCTATCCACCCACTACTGTCTATAGCCTCCTGCCTATAGGACGTAGCCTCCTGCCTATAGCACATAGCCTCCTGCCTATAAGGACGTAGCCTCCTGCCTATAGCACATAGCCTCCTGCCTATAAGACTTAGCCTCCCGCCTAGGGTCTGTGGTGTATCGCCCACTCTCTACTGTTGACCACCTTCCTGGCCGTCCAACCACTGCGTATTTCCTACTGTCTATAACTTACTGCCTATAGAACATGGCCTCCTGCCTATAGCCTGCTATCTATTGCCCAATATCTCCAGCTGACCGCCCTCCCAGCTTCCCGACTGCCTATCTACCCCCCCTCTACTGTCTCCTGTTGTAAGGACCTGCCAAACACGGACTGAGACACACAGCTGACCTGCCAAACACGGACTGAGACACACAGCTGACCTGCCAAACACGGACTGAGACACACAGCTGATTTCTGAGTTTGACCAATGGAATGTATGCCTTGCTGAGTTTCCCGTTTGTTGCCGAGTTTTCTCAGTCTGTGTGTGTGCATCCTTACTGGTCTGCGTGCCCGTCTGAGTGCTTGTCGGTTTGAGTGTGTGTGTGTGTGTGAACCGCAAGGGAACTCGTCCGTGCGGGAGGCCCGAAGGGCCGGTACTTACCTGTGGCTGTGACATTGAGGGTTGCAACGGGGAAAACACTCAAGCGGCGGGGAAAGAGGCCTGCGACACTTGAAGCAGTGGAAAAACACTCAAGTAGCAGGTAGGCCGGTACCACACAGTAGAGGTAGTTGTGCCGGGTACTCGATGCCGAGCAGAAGAAGACAAAGTTGGCATTTTTAGAGCCCCAGTAGTTGTAGGCCAAGTCTAGGCGGGTACCAGTCTGAGTAGTCTTGAGTCTAGGGCCTGTACGGGCAATATCAGAGTCTGCAATGATGTTTCCCTCCGAAAGGGAGGAGGTACCGGTTGCTTGGAGGCCGTGAGGCAAGCAGGCCGCTGTATCTCCTGGAGGAGCAAAGAGCTCCTCATTCTACGGTGTGCAAGTTTGGCGACACACTGCTTGGAGCGCTGGCTGGAGCAGTGCTGCTGGGGAGGAAAGAGCGCCCAGCTCTCCACCTATGGTGGAGGAGCACAGGCTGGAGGAGGAGGAAGACGAGGACTAGGAAGGGGGAGCGCCAGAGGTCCATACCTGGCTATGGTGCATGCCATCTTCATCACCTTGGTGAGCGCTGCATCTGGAAGGCCCCAGTTGGGGTAGAGCTACACCAAGAAGCTTCGAGGCAGAGTCAGGCATGATGGCCTGAGCTCGAGCAGCCATAGCTGCTTTGAGTTGTCTTTTCCACATCAGGGCATGGCCCTAGCAGTCCGCCATAGCCTTGGCCTTCAGGAAGAGGAAGGAGAAGGGTGGCCATGGCTATGGTGGACCTCATGTTGGACCTGCAGTAGAAGAGGGACTCGAACATTGATTCTGGTTCAGCCATTCAACATTATTATTTATCGGTTGAATAAGAGGGGGGGAGAAAAGGAGGAGGAGAGTGGTTGGCGAGAAGAAGGGAATTATCATCGGCCTTTGCTGGTGTACATCTTCTTCTTCTTCTTCTTTCCCTCTCTTTCCTCTCAAGTTCATTCATTTGTTTTTGGAATTGGATGGCATTGTGCTTTCTCATGAATGTCTACTTCACAATTGGCCAGGATCATAACACTGTTTACCCTCAACTTTTTCTTTTTTTCTGAAATCCGGGGTCGGTCCGACTAGCGGGTACCCTCCACTTAGTTTACTATATACGTACCTCCTACTGAACCCAATATACATTCCCATTCTTCTTCTTCTTCTTCTTCTTCTTCTTCCTTCTTCCTCCTTCTCCTTCTCCTTCTCCTTCTCCTCCTCCTCCTCCTCCTCCTCCTGCTCCTCCTTCCTCTTCCTCTTCTTCCTCTTCCTCTTCTCCGCCTGCTCCTTCTGCTCCTCCTTCCTCTTCCTCTTAATCCTCTTCCTCTTCTTCCTCTTCTTCCTCTTCCTTTTCTCCTCCTGCTCCTCCTGCTCCTCCTGCTCCTCCTGCTCCTCCTGCTCCTTCTTCTCCTCCTCCTCCTCCTTGTGCTCCTGCTCCTTCTGCTCATCCTGCTCCTACTGCTCCTCCTTCCTCTTCCTCTTCTTCCTCTTCTTCCTCTTCCTCTTCCTCTTCTTCCTCTTCCTCCTCTTCCCCCGCTTCCTCCTCTTCCTCCTCTTCCTCTTCTTCCTCTTCCTCTTCTTCCTCCTCTTCCTGTTCCTCTTCTTCCTTGTCCTCGTCGTCGTCGTCGTCGTCTTCGGCCCGTCTCTTCTCCTCCTCCTCCTCCTGCTCCTGCTCCTGCTGCTCCTGCTCCTCCTGCCGCTCCTGCTCCTGCTCCTGCTGCTCCTGCTGCTCCTGCTCCTCCTGCTGCTTCTGCTCCTCCTGCTCCTTCTCCTCCTCCTCCTCCTCCTCCTCCTGCTCCTCGTGCTTCTGCCCCTTCTGCTCCTGCCCCTTCTGCTCCTGCCCCTTCTGCTCCTGCTCCTACTGCTCCTCCTTCCTCTTCCTCTTCTTCCTCTTCCTCTTCCTCTTCTTCCTTTTCCTCTTCCTCTTCTTCCTCTTCCTCTTCCTCTTCTTCCTCGTCCTCGTCGTCGTCGTTGTCTTCGGCCCGTCTCTCCTCCTCCTCCTCCTCCTCCTCCTCCTCCTGCTCCTCCTGCTCCTCCTGCTCCTCCTGCTCCTTCTGCTCCTCCTGCTCCTCCTGCTCCTCGTGCTCCTCCTTCCTCTTCCTCTTCTTCCTCTTCTTCCTCGTCCTCGTTGTCGTCTTCGTCTTCCACTGCTGCTTCTTCTGCTTCCGCTTCCGCTTCCGCTTCTGCTTCTGCTTCTGCTTCTGCTTCCGCTTCCGCTTCCGCTTCCGCTTCCGCTTCCGCTTCCGCTTCTGCTTTTCCTTCGCCTTGTCGCCCTTTCTGCAAGATCCATAGCACCTTCTTCTGTCCACCAGCAGGAGTATTACAAAATTGTCTTGCAAATTAAACACAAAAGTTGGCAAAAGCTTCCTTAAAGCACACTACATTTGTTTGACAAAGTCTCTTCTCCATGAGGCAATTTCTGCCACACGCTGAGTTCTGTTGAGCAGTTGCATTTTTTTGGGTCGTGCTGTCAGCCTTTCCAATTCGGTGGGCCGAGCCCGGCGTGTGTAGGAACCACGTCGGAACAATTTGCCTGTGAACCGTACTGGTGCTTCAAAGACCGACTCCAACCTGAAGTAGACATTATGGTCAGGGGACCATGAAGTAAACACAAAAGTACATGTAGAAAAGAACTAGAAAGTAGTAGAAACCCATTGCTCTTGTCCTTTTCAACACACTGTCTTCGTATGAGCATCATGTTTGTCTGTGAGGTATCAGCAGATTGTGACTTGGGAGTCCTACAGAAGCTTCTGCTGTGATTGCCGACCATTTGTACGACAAGGGACCTGACAGTATAATATATTGTCACATGACAATAAAATATATATCTATGTAGAGTATTCTTGTCTGATGTCCGGGCATGAGATATCCAATCTATGGTTAGGATTGATTTTTCGCACCACCTCTCAATGATCGTCATCCACATAATATCTTCTCGCTCTGGTTTATCCAGCATTTGTTCTTGCGTTTCTCATTGGATCTCTTCTCTCCTCCAAAAAAGCGTGTGCTGCTGCTGCTGCTCTTTCTGTGTATCTGTGTGACTGTCCATCCATTTGTGCGTCCATTGGCCTGTCCGTCTGTCCTGCCTGGCAACCTGTCTGTGCAGCTGCTCATCTGTCTATCCATTTGTCCGTCGGTCCATCTGTGCCTGCCTGCCTGCCTGTTTATCCAGTCGTTCGTCCATTCATGAGCACACCTGCTTTTCGTCCATCCCTCCCCCCCGTCCGTCTGTATGTCCTCTCCTCCCTCCGTCCCATTGTTGTGTCTCGATCTGTCCGTATGTCCTCTCCTCCCTTGTCGTTGGGTAGGTCGATCTGTCCGCATGTCCTCTCCTCCCTCCGCCCGTCTGTATGTCCTCTCCTCCCTCCGCCCGTCTGTATTTCCTCTCACCCCTCCGTCCCATTGTTGTGTCTGACCGTCATTGGGTAGGTAGCTCTGTCCATATGTCCTGTCCTCCCTTCCGTCTCATTGTTGTGTCCGACTGTCGTTGGGTCGGTTGGTTGGTCGATCGGTGGGTCCATATGTCCACCAGTCCGTTTGTCGGGTCGATCCATCCGTACAGCTGGCTGTCCTTCTGTCCAACCCGACCAACCTTTCGATTCTGTGTATGTGTGTGTATGTGTGTGTGTGTGTGTGTGTGTGTGTGTGTGTGTGTGTGTGTGTGTGTGTGTGTGTGTGTGTGTGTGTGTGTGTGTGTGTGTGTGTGTGTGTGCAACTGACCACTGGCTTCCCACAAGCCCTGCACTAAATGTGTTTCTCTGCAGTAAAATGTCTACCATCGTAAAAAGCTTTAACTGGATTTTAAAATTTTATATCATTTTATATCATTTCTGTGAGGCCTTTCTGTATGCAGCAATGGATAATTTGTCAGCCTATCATCAGACCTGTGAACGATCAGCGGGCCATCAAAGTTACATGTGCTGTCACAAATAACCTCTCCTGCCGAATGGGTTATAGAGGGGGAGCCCTGTTTATACTTCACAAGAAGTCTGTTTGTGCACCCATGATCCTCTTGTTTATCAGTGCCACCTGCGAGGTTGCGGAAAGAAAGGTACTAGACAGCCACCCCTGAAAAATATCAGAAAATCTCTCTGGATTTTCAAACGGGGCAAAGGGCTCACAGTGCCTACCAAAGTTTCTTGTTGGTGATGAGACCTGTCGTGCGCTGGTGATTTCCTGTATGATGCTGGCTTCGACAGAAGCTTCAAGAAGTCATCGGAAGACTCTTCTGTGACTGGAGAAAGGGGGCGAGAGGAGGGGAGAAGAGCGGGTGGTGGGCTGTGGTGGTTGGATGGTTGGGTTGTGCAATCTGCTGAGGGCCGTTGAGTTAATACTCCATGTTTTATCAGACTGAAGAATGTGTGTTATCAACTTATCGTCCTTCGGGACATCTGTTAAAATTGGAACGATACAGAGAAGATCAGCATGGCCCCTGCGCAAGGATGACACACATAAATCGAGAAATGGTCCAAAAAAAAAAAAAAAAAAAAAAAAAAAGAATGTGTGTCATATCCGAGTTTGCAATGTGCCTCGAACTACGTTCGTAATCATGAAAAAAAAAAAATTAAAAAAAATTGTAATCACGCTTCATCCTTGGGGTAAATCCCAGGTTTACTTGCAGGGTTAAGCCCCTATTTTGGCGCAGGTTAAACCGTTAAAGGCCCTGGTTTAAGCACAGCGAAGGGTTCACGGCTGTCTGCCTCGGTCCCAGTCTCGGTCCCATGTACAATATGCCTGTTTCCCACAAGGTAGAATCTAGTCCCAACAGGCCGTACGGTTGGCGTAGGAAAAGTTGGTAGCACAGTGAAATATCTTCCCTGGTTCCAGTCTCGGTCCCATCATGTGTCCCACCAGGTAGAATCTTAGTCCCAACAGGCCATCTTAGGTAGGATATGGTAGGTTAGGATGGCATTGTCTCTGAGATGTAATGTCCTGGTACGGGGAGGGCTAGGAGCTGTTTTAGGATTAGGAGGCCAGAATTGCCGATATAACATAGTCTTCTATATTTTTCATCATCATCATTAGTATGATCACAGTTTACATAGAATCAGTAGAATTTCACCATCATCATCATCATCATCATCATCATCATCGTCATCATCATCATCACTATCATTAGCATGATATGAGGGACGCTGAGCCCGGTTCTCAGCAATTTCGGTTCGGTCACTCCGGGTAGACTGTGGGAACCACCCCGGCCTCAATCTTCTTATTGATAATATCAGCCTTGGGCACTGGGCCCGTTTTAAAAAAATAAAAAAATAAAAAAATAAAAAAAAACAAACAAACAGTTGGCCCAGCAAAAGTTGGTAGCACAGTGAAAGCATTCATGGGTATCTGCCCCTTTTCCCGTTCTCGGTCCCATGTACAATATTTGTGTGTCCCAGGTAGAATCTAGTCCCAACAGACTGTCTGAGAATCTGTTAGGTAAAGGTTGGCTCCGGAAAAGTTGGTAGAAATTGGTAGGCCTGTGTGCCTCTCCGTCCTAGTCCGCAGCAAAGTCCCAGGAAGGTCAGGGAACTTCCGGAAGCAACAACATCGGCTGCAGGTTCCAGTCCTGAGCCGGAAGACGAAGTCTGGAAGCCAAGTGTTGGAGATGTGAAAGTCCAACCGTTGAGACAGTCATCAGCAGTGCTGCCTGTGACCAAGTCTTGCATGCGGCAAGGGTGGTCGACGGCACAGGGCGCCCATAGCTGTAGCAAGGTTGGAGAGAGAGAAGTGCTGGGTGTTCAGAGAGGATCATGACTGCGGGAATGGGTGAGAGAGAGAGAGAGAGAGAGAGAGAGAGAGAGAGAGAGAGAGACAGAGAGACAGAGAGAGAGAGAGACAGAGAGAGACAGAGAGAGAGAGAGAGAGAGAGAGAGAGAGAGAGAGAGAGAGAGAGAGAGAGAGGCCATACCTGTGTGTTGTTGCTGGTGGCCATAGCCATCCGAGCTTGAAGAAGACAATCTTTGTATATAAGGGTCGACTTGCAGCGACTACTTTTGGATTCACTTCTCATGTGTGCTTCATGTCTGCACAATGTGGTTTGGGGACTGTGTGAAGTGTGTTTGATGCGTGGTTGGTTTGAATCGAACATCCAACAGGTTTAATCCCAGGTTAAATCAAATCACATTGCGTAATTTTGAGGTCAACCTTTGACCGTGAGTTCAAGTTAATCCGTCCTGTGGAACCTGCTATGATCCTGCTCAATTCCTAATGCAAGACTAAACTTTGAGACACATAGATCAGGAGAGAAGAAGAATGAAGAATGAAGAAAGAAGAAAAATGAAGGAAGAGAGAAGAAGAACACAAGATTGAACCAATGTCATCTCCCTCCTCCTCTCGCTGTTATCATCTCCCTGACATAATCGCCTCCTTTATTCTCCCTTGCATGCAATCGTGTGTGTGTGTGTGTGTGTGTGTGTGTGTGTGTGTGTGTGTGTGTGTG